TACGGGTCGCCCTTCGGAGGAGGCTGCAGCTAACGGGGCCAGGTGAGAGGCAGGTGTCTCCTGGGGAGGCTCCTGGTATTGAGGGTTGCTCTTCATGGGTGGCTGGGGCAGAAAGGGTAGATGAGAGAACGCTTCCTTTTGTGGAGTTTGCGGTTTAGGTGGCTCGGGTGCGAGGCAGACCTCCCCCGTGAGACTTAGAAACGCCCTGTGGTCGAGAGAGAGGGGCTAGAAGTGAGAGCCAGAGCTAGCGGATTCTCCTACTACGGAGGCCAGAGCTGAAAAGTGGGTAAGGATCTTGGGGAGAGGGAGTTTCTGGGTGATTATGGGAAGACACCCCCATCCAAAGGAAAGTCCGAGTGGGGACTACTGGGAGGGAAACGGGAATGGCAGGAGCTTTTCCTTCTCTCTGGAGACCAACCAGGTGTCCCAGACACAGGATTCAGCTACTTCTGGGCTTGGTGCCTGGGGAGTGTGGGGGGAGTCCATCCCACAACACCCCCTGCGTGACTCCAAATTAGGCATTTGTCCTTGCCTGCTGCCTCACTTTCCTTGTCTTTGAGGAGGGAGACCAAGACCGAGATGGTCAGGAGAGACTCTGAGGTCCTATATTGTATAGCTCTCTGAGTGAGGTTGCTCCCTCTGGAATGTTGTACTTTGAACTTTTAAGGGTCTGAAGTGTCTGTTATGGACTGGGTAGAGTCCCGCAGTTTCTCAGGGCCCTCACCTACCATCTGTTTGTGCTTAGTGAAGTGACTTAACCTCCTTAAGTCTCTTCTGTAAAAAAAAAAAAAAAAAAAAAAGAAGAACCAACGTAGCGTGTGAAAGTACAAACTGCAAGCTGTGTGACAGTTAGGTGCTGTGATTCTACCACCAAATGGGTTGCTGTTGAGGAATAAAAGTGAAGGCACTTTCTAAACTGTAAAGTGGTATGTAGATGTAAGGGGTTAGCATTAATACAGTTCTTGCCTATCCCCTATGGAGTGCTGGGAGCCATATTGTACTGCAAGCTTCAAGGTTCTCAGCTTCTTAGGTCATATTATATACTCTAAACCTATGATTTCAAACCCTGCTTAGATGAGGTGGATGGGTTTTCAGTTTTTGCTCCTAGAGTTTTAATTTGCTTTGAACTTCCAATGGTCCTGGCAAGAGTTAGCACTATAATATCTTTTCCTTCAGGAATTTTTTTCCTGACAGCTGAAATTTTCTCCAAGCAATTTGATCTCAATATTGTAAACCTTTTCACCCTTTTTCCAAGCTATATATATTCATGGCGTTTGGATGTCTACAGGTAGCGAATTTCATGCTTCTTCCTCAGTGTGACTTGTAAAGAGACTGCTTTTTTCCTCCATGAATAGTAGGCCTTGTTGTGGTAGCCCAGACATATATGAGGCAAATTGGAGATTGCTTTTAAATTTCTCTCTCATGGTGGTTCTTTCTATTTTTGACCTTATGTACCGTTTGCATTTCCTGGAATGACATCTTGCTTTGTGATCCCTCTGTGATATTATTAATGTAAATACTTGTTTCCATGTGTGACATATCACTAATGTTTGGTTGGTGGCATTTATTAGAGCTTCTTTTCCAGATTATAGGTAATTTATTTGTGATTTGTGCAGTAGTTTTTTTTTTTAAGATGGTCTGAATTTCTTATTTTCTAATCTTATATTCCATGAGTCTTTTTTAAAAAATCACTATGGTGATTTTTGTAAGTTCTCTGATTTCCAGGATACTTGTTGTCCTGACCTACTGCTTAATGTCTTTCTGTGTCCTGCTTTTTTGCTTTTTTTTTTTTTTTTATACAAGCTTTTCATTGTTCTGTATCAATGATTATTTTTAAAGTTGATTATAGGAAGCGTTCAGCATACTCTATGTGGACTTCTTCTGCTTTGTCAACAGAATATCTTTTTGTTAGCAAGTATCAAGGGAAATAAAAACTTAGCATTTTGTATAATAGTGTGTTATTCTATAGTGAATAGGGAGAAAAAGCTACTAATCGCGAGGTATGTTTTGGCAAGAGTTATTGTTTTTGTTTTTTTGAGTCAGAGTCTCACTCTGTGCACTGGCTAAAGTGCCATGGCGTCAGTCTAGCTCACAGCAACCTCAAACTCCTGGGCTCAAGCAATCCTCCTGCCTCAGCCTCCTGAGTAGCTGAGACTACA